AAACCCTAAACCTAAACCTAAACTTAAACCCAAACCCATAAACCCTAAACCCTATGCCCTAAATCCTGAACCCCAAAACCCTAAGGGGCGATCGAATGCAGGGATTCATCTTTGGGGGCCCGTCGGTGCTTCAGGGTCATCTTGTTTAAGGTTTAGGGTTTAGGGTTTAGGGTTTAGGGTTTATCTTGTCTGATCCCGCTCCGGGCCATGTGAGCCCAGAGACCCCAAACCCCCCATTAAATAAGGAAGATAAACCTTAAATCAAAATAACGGTCCCTCAAAAAGTTTAGGTGTATTCCTTATTAATAATATACCTTAAAATCCTAATAACGATCCCTCAATAATTTCAGGTGATTTGCCTTATTTATAAGGGCTTTTGGAGTCTCTAGGAGCTGCCTGCCCGCCATAGGTTGACAACGCGCCCGGGCGTGGCAAAAGCACACGTCAAGGAACCACATATATAGGGTTTAGGGTTTAGGTTTTTTTAGGGTACGTAACACGACGGGGGGGTCCTCTGCGCGTTGCCAATCGTGCGTTAGGAGAGCGCGCTGGAAGGTGAAGGATGCAAACTTGGTCAGGATGCCCTTTCCGAGTTAGCCAAGGCATGCAAGGTCTAGGTCTTGCGATGTCTGGAGTTTGGCGCGTTCTGGGCCGAGGAACCATCGCGCTTCGGGCCATGCGAGTTGCGACCGTCTGAAATTGGAGCCCGCGTGGGGAAAAAAAAAACAATGCAGTCCACCACATGAGCATTTGGCGATGCAATCCGGTGCTGGACAGTCGAAGACGCTAGATCGAGCCCCAAACTGCAAGAGGCCTCAGGCCTTTGGGGCAGCTTTGGCGGTGCTGCAGGTGTGTGGGGGTGCATGTGCTTTTGTGGAAGCGGCTGAACAAACCTTGCTGCGAAACATTGCGAAACAAGAAAAGTTCACCTCTCCTCCTCTGACACTGCCCGGAGAGGTGGGGTCCTGCAGACGATTCGCCTGGTCCACTTCAAGGGGCACCGAAATTGAGTGCAGGCGACAGGCTTTCAGGGGTACAAACAAATCTTCAGGCACAACTAGGGATTCTTCATACAGGCCGCAAGCCCGGAAAAGCACCTGAACATCCGGTGGCCTGTCTGCTGCAGCTCTTCCAGTGAAGACTTCAGATTTCCTCAGTTATGCGCTGTGTGATAGCAGGCCAGAAACCCATCCAAGGAGAAATTGGCTAAGCATGCTTTCACCTCGACGCCCGACTCAGATGCTGGACAAAGTCGTGGCAGTCGTGGCATCAATGGCTGCTCCTATGGGCCCGAGATAAGACTAAAATGCTATCCTTCTGTTCTTGCTTTAGCCAAAAGTCCAACCGAGAGGTTGTAGTTGAGGCCCTTCGGATGCTCCTCCAGGATCTTTTCCTTGTTCATCAGACGGGGAAGCTCGCAATAGGGATTCTTTGCAAAGGGCCCTAGACTTCAAGATACTCAATAAGGATCTTCTCGGAATTCCACTCTCCAAAAGCCATACTTTAGTTGAGCTTCCTATGACAAGACACCCTGCAAAAGAACCTAGAGCTTACCTCCAATCTTTTGCTTCAATCTGTAGGGCGCTAAGTCGGTGACCCTATATCCACGGCAGGATGGGTTTAGGGTTTATAGGGTTTAGGGTTTAGGGCTTATAGGGCCCTATAACCCTTCATTACAGGGTAACGTGGTGAAGAGGACCCTGCATCTCTGTACCAGGCCAGATGTACCGAAGGGTCCGTTACCGTATGAGCCTATGTCAAGTACCGATGTCGTTTGCACTCAGACCTTATAATATATGGGGGCCTAAATAAATAGAATCGGGTTTTGGGGGCCCATTATACTAGAACTACAAGAAGGAACCCCCAGAATAGCAAGGGGAATTATTTTGGCCCCTACCTCATCGAGGCGAAGAGGTTCGGTTCCTCTACAGGCACTTTAGAATTTAGGGGGTCATAGTGTATAGTTCGTGGGGACGTGGACCCTTCGGATTAGTACTTACCTAGCAGTCATGCCTTATTATTTGGTATGGAACCTCGGCCCAAATAGATCCCATCCCGACTAACACCCCCTGCTCCTCAACCCTGTAAACCCTAAAACCTAAACCCTCAGCCCTAAACCCCAAACCCTAAAACCCTAAACCGTAAACCCTACAACCTAAACCCAAAGCCCCAAGCCCGAAACCCTAAACCCTACAACCTAAACCCTAAGCCCCAAGCCCGAAACCCTAAGCACAAAGCCCTAAAACCTAAACCCTAAGCCCGAAACCTTAAACCCTAGACCCCAAACCCTAAACCCTAAGCCCGAAGCCCTAAGCCCTAAACCCTAAACCCTAAACCCTAAACCCTAAAGTCCCGAAGCCTGGGACGCTTTTGGCTATCAAAGAAGGCCCGTGGCCTTGGCACAGGCCTTCAGGTTAGAGGCTGATCGGGGCTTGGGGTTTAGGGTGCAGGGTTCAGGGTTTAGGGCGCCTTGGACTCTTGGATGTAATGTAGGTACCTAGTATAGGGGCCTTAATAAGTACAACAGTTTTTGTTTTTGGAGGGGGTCCTTATGATAATTTTAATATAAGGGGCCCAAAACCCTATTCTAAAAATTAAAGCCCCTTCATGAAAGAATTTGGCAGGGGTGTTGGTGTACACTGCCGTGGAATTCTAGAGCAAAAAGTATAGGCGATACACGCCCGACTCAGCTAAACAACTGGACTTGGGGCATGCTAGCTACACCTTATCCCTAAGGGCCCATGTACCCAAATAGTAGAACAT